CATTAATACCTTAAAAATTACAAAGACGTATTACATATTAAAAATTCAAGAGAAATTATACAATTGAGTATATAATATATATACAATTTCATAAAAAAAAAAAAAAAAAAAAAAACCCGCAATCAATCAATCTACAGGAGAATGCTGAGCTCAAAAGCACATTCTCGTAAGATCTTAGGAGGAATGTTATCAGGTCCTCCAGACTTGTTAATATTAATCCTTCTCAAATCATTATATATTTCCCAGGGTTCAAACTAAGGAGGTGGCATAGAGGTAGGCTTGCTGGGAGATGATCAATACATATAGGCTCCTGTAGTTGGGAGAAGCTGGCTAAATGAGCATTAATAGCGTTAGCAGCAGCTAAACAATCATCAGGATTGATATTAGGTATAGTTATCTTTTTTCGTGATGTTGGCCGCTATACGTACCTCTCTATGCCAATGTTGCAACGTACTGAGAGCAGCAAGATACCGTAAAACCTTGAATTAAAGCCCTAGGCTTCTTTTTTTGTGAAATTTTGATGGGCTTCATTTCAAGATGGGCTTCTTTTCGAGATGGCCTTCTTTTCGAGGTTACTTTTGCAAAGTAAAGAAGGGGGGGGGGCTTCTTTTCAAAATGAATGCTGTAAATTTTGTAAATTTGTATTGTAAAATAATATATAAGGCCACTGTAACATAAATTTATATCATGAATTGTATTTAAATGGCATTAAATCACCGAAACTACTGTATAAAACCAAGCTTTTTAATGTCCAGGTTGTAATAGTGATTATATTGGTAAGACAGATAGATGCTTAATAACTAGACTTAAAGAACATTCTTTACGATCTGATAGTGTTATAAATGATCATATACAAAATTGTGAGGCATTCCAATATATTTTAGGTATACTTGAAAATGATAATGTAGCCTGTAATGTAAGTAAGAATTAGGTTTAATATCTTTTAATACTAACATTATTAACAGTTCGCAAAATTGGTCTATTATTGTTTAAAGAAGTGTTTGCTATTATACGTAGGCTACACCCATTGCTGAAAGCTTTAAAGGAGCTGTGTTTTTGTAGGTAACTTTGATCAGTAGGGTAAGGATGCTTTGATCTTAAGTTCTTAAGTTTAAGTTTATTTTATTTTTTTTATTCATAGCTATGCCACCTACTAGGGGTAATGTTTCGGTACTTGTGCATATAAACTTGCAAATATGGATAATTTTTCATTCCTGATGATGACATAATTAATGTCGAAATATTAAATCCCGACACGATGGCGTGCATTTCGATACTTGAATCGTATCTATCTAAACCAAGCT